CCGGCAAAAATCACCGACTGTGTGAACGTGAACATTAATAGAATATCACCTCCCATCTTCAGAGCAATCTGACTATTATAAACATTAGCGTTAAGAAAGCTTACTTAAATATCTGCCACAACATAAGTAACCGGATCAGAGTAACATTAAGTACAGTCCGCGGCATATCACATCATAATGTATCATATATTTCCTTATCTGAGTCTGCTGAGCCGTATCTGGCCGTGTAACACTCACAGTCTCACATAGGCCTGCTGTATGCAGAAGTATTATTTTAAGCAACACATTAAGTTGACGAAACACTCGAGTCAAATGTAATTAAAGTCAGATCAACTCGTGTCTTAGATGGGGCAGTGATATCATAAACCTGTTAATGTACGCATTCAAACACTTTTTCTTTTACCAGCTGTATTCACCTTGCAGGTGCAGCTATGTGGCTTTTATCCTGGATAAAGTGTTTAAGTCATGGATGTTTAAAGTTTAACTTCTTCATATGTCTAATATTATAGTTGACTTTTCATTCAGGAAGTATGACACTGCGCTGTCAGTACGCTTCTCCGTGTTTGTGATTGGTCGAATGCTCCAAATACCACAACTTTCATGTGAACGCGCACCTAACGAGATAGGGCACGGCTGGCTTGAGCGATCCACTTGATAACCCGCTTCGTAGTACCGTTTAGCGAGAGCGCGTATGTTTTGGGTTAGGCCAACCGGCTAACTCAAACATATCCAGGTTAGGTTGAACTAGCTTCGTAGTACAGGCCTCTGGTCTACAGGTTTGACATTTGCTTAAAAATGTACAATGCTATTATTAGGATATTTTTGCAGGGCTCAAAATCCTAGTTTTCTTGGTTTATTCAAAGGGTTGGTTTGGCTTGTTTTTAAGTGGGGTTTTATCAGGTACTTATCCATATTCAATGAATTACTTAAAAGTAACAGCATGGCAGCTAGGCAATGTGTTGATGTTGACAGGGGCAGCAGCAAAACATATTTTCAGGAAAATGCCAACCAAAAAAAGTATTATCAGATTGAGGCAACGTTTGAACAGCACCTTGAGAGGGTTAAAATGACTGTTTTTGTCACTGGAGTCTGTTGGGATTAACTTAATGATAGTAGGATATAATGGCAACAGTTCACTGTTGCAAGAGGCAGTGGAAATATTCTAAATATATAATAAATAAATATATACAAACTGTCAATGGATAAATACCTCATTCAACCCCCAATGTTTCCCTACTTTAATTGTTATTTTTATTTATTTTTCGTTGACATGACTATACTTCATTTTCTCTGACTAGTGTTCATTCCCACATTTTTGTCTTATCAGTCTGTCCAGCAACTGTTTAGGCAAAAAGGGTCTGAAGAAGCTGTTGGAGGTCCTGCCTCGTCTTGATAGCATCCAGGAAGTGAAGTAAGACTCACACACAAAAGATACATAACAATAAAAAAACTTTACTTTACCAACAGTCCCCATGATCTCTATACCAAACCTTTAAAGATTCAGATTCAAATATTTAAAGGCTTTATTTGGTATATGCACAATAGCTCTAGTGTTGTTGTTAGCAATTCAAATCTATTCAGAAATCAGTCCAATGGTGAAGGTAAAAAAGCAGAAATAAATAGACTGTGTACATGTAAAATAGAACATTATACAACAGAATGCAAACTGTCCAATCGAATAAAATACTGCTTATTGTAATAATATGTAAATATTTGGATTGCAAACAGATGGATGTGCTATAAACAAAAAAAAGGTAAATAACAATTACAGAGGTCATGAATTTAACAGTTTGGCTAATTTGCATTTGATACAAAGGAGGTACCTTGTTTTAAACGGTAATGAAAGATGAGGCTCTGTGCTTTGTCACGCTGTGCTGATCTAATCTTGGTGGTTTGGCAGGCGGGCCAGTTATTTTCTCACCAAACAGGTTTCAGACTAAGTGTGCCAGCGCTGGCAGCTACCACGTTTACCCGAGGGCATTATCCGTTATGAATGGCTTATTTTAGAGCTGAATGATGTCCCCCCCCCCCCTTGGCTCATTGTTCTTGTTTGTGTTTTACAGCGCCAGTAACAATGGGATTGGCAGGGAAGGAGTGGCACTGCTGGCTGGTGCTTTGTGCTCTCATAACAATTTAACACAAATACACATCAGGTAGCCTACTGTTTGGAGAACATTTCATTAGAGCAGCTACAGAGTGAGCACCTGTTTCCCCAGCTTAGCGCGCTAAGAGATAGAAATGCAACAGCTGACAGAGATGCTTAATCGTTTATAGTTATTACTGTTTATACAATACTAATATTTGTGCCATACACAGTTGCTTCAAAATTATTTGATTGGGCAGACAATGGAGACTATAAACTGGTGTGCTGATTGTTAATAGGAAAATGTCCTTTTGGTTTTAAAGTGGCGGAGACAGAGAGCAGGTGATCCTGAAGTTCTGCCCTGACAAAAGGTAACACTAACACAACATAAAACTTAACAGTCTCTGCATTTGTATTTGTCAGCTAATTATATGTTGTTTTTTTCCTTTTAGGAAAGACAAACAGCACCTAAAGACGTTCAGGTACAGTAAGCCCATAGAGAAGATTTTAGGGAAAACACAAATGTTATTTTCTTAATTCACAAACAATCCAATGTAAGCCATTACTTGGAAATTGAAATGTAAGGAAATCATCCACTTCGGGAGGGAACACAAATGGGGCGAAGCCTGCGAGCTAGTTCAGGCAGTCAACTCGAGCACCAATGATACATTAACACGTGACGCGCCTCGTCCCTCTTACAACCAACCACACACATTCTCCTAAACATGGCGCTCTATTTAAGCTGCCAGGTCTTCCTGCCTCTACCTCGCTATGCTGCTGCTGCACTGCTGTGTTCACTTGCTATTGCTGCGTTCATGTTCTGTTCAAATAACCCTTTTCTACTATTAAAACAAAATATAAACTGAATCCTGAATCTGCCTTCATCCGGTATTTAGATTCCTGGTCTGGAAATAGATGCAAATTAGTGAATATTTAATAAGAGAATGCCTTATTTGCATATTTAAGCAGTTTCCTAAAATGTGTAATACAAACAAAATGTCTTAATGTCAGTTATTAAGAGGGGGAAGTTTCATGGTTCATACAAAATAATTCATGTTAACCCTCTTTACCCATAATTCAGGATAAACAACAGCAGCCTCCTGCCATCCAATGTAACAACGCTCTGCAGACAATTAGCGTATTGTCGCTCTCATTTGGAGTTAGAGTAAGTTATAATACTCTGCATCCATATAATATAATTTATGATTTTGACCAAACAGGTAAATAATAATAGAACGTTTCAGTTTGTCTCACAGCTCATTGACAGACGAGGCTATAGAGAATCTGCTGAAGTGTCTGCCCAAGATGACGTCACTGCAGAGACTCAAGTAAGGCACACACATAAATGAATTAGTGTGGATGGTTTTGTGTGTGTTGGTAAAAATGTATCTAGTTGTATTCAGTTTGTTTAGATTTGTCATGTGAAACTCAATGTCAAGTCTGCATTTGTCATATCCACAACATTTGTGGTTCCCAGGTGCCCTTTTATCAAATGAAAAAAGGGAAACTCAAACAGTCAATTAAACAATTTTTGTTTTTTATTTTAACAAAAGTAAAAAAACAACATAATACTATGGTAAGTGGGTGTAAGGCTTTTTTCTGATTGTGGCCACTAGCAACGTCAGCAGTTAAAAGCTGTCTTTTTATATATATTCATATTGTATTATCAACAATTACCACCTTCTCATTACATTTGAATCAACTCTGTCCTCTTCTTCTTCAGTGTCAGCCACAGCATCATGTCCACATCTGGAGCAGTGATGTTGGTCAGATGTTTGAACGTCAGTCAGCGGGTCACATCAGTGGAGCTCAGGTAACATTTGCATCTGTATCCACATGGTTTATAATTAGTCATAAAAATGTTTTGCAATAATTGTTAAAAAAAATAATTCTTTGAATTCTTCTTCAGGCCTCAGAGTGAATCCTTCATCTGTTTTGGCATTGTGAAAGCAGAAGAAGCCAGCTGCAGGTCAGACATCAGCAATTTATTTTTAATGCAATTCCTATTGCAGGGGTTTTCTAGAAAAATATAGTATGAGGGTGCTAACGTCACTTCAAAAGTACTGCCCCGCCCGCTTTTGTGAAAATAATGCATTAGAGTAAAGTGGAAAATAATGGTTTCTGCATTTCTTAAAGCTGCTGAGTCATAATGCACCTCAAACAACAAATACATCCTGAGTTACGGTTTCTTTACTTCCTCTACAGAAAAAAGGGTTGTTAAAAAAACGATCTAATTCAGAAATAACAGTTTAAGTGTAAGCACTAAGATTTTTGCCTTTGCAGATAATAGAGCCCAGTTAAGAACACTGGATTCCTTAAGAGCTGTTTACTTTGCATGTCTAGTTTTAGTAAGGTTAGTGATCAGTTTTTGAGAATATCTTTCACAGTTAAACCCCACGGGGCTAGAAACAGCGTCTGAGGGCTTCTTAACATTTAATAAACTATGAATGTGTCATATCCACTTAACGGGAAGAAACTCAGCTATCAGACAATATTAACCATTTTTAGCAAAACAAAACATAAGGGTAATAACAAAGGCTCTGAATTAGCCTTGAGCGGAAAAATGCTAACGCACTTAGCACAGAACTCACGTTAAAATTCCCTCATTACTTATCGGATCTGCACAAACAAGATATCGATTAGCAAGTTGATATTTCACAGATTCCAGGCATATAAGTATCATCACTGAGCGATCAGAACTCGTGGCGAAACGACAACAAACAACAACAACAAAACTAGCTTTACGGAGCCAAATCGGCTAAAAACTTCTTACCTTTGTTGTTTTCTGATCAAAAGCTATGTTCAATGGCATTAAAATGATAAAAACACGGCTGAAGGTTAATCCATAGGGTAATCCAATGGGTCTGTGTTACTTTGAAATTATTACTGATAATCCATCATTCCATTTTTTGTCAATAACAGAGATTTCATCATAGCTGCAATAGCTACTAGAGTGTATGACAGCTTCCGGTTCTGGGGCATGCTGGCTGCGCATCACTCATTCACCAATGGGTAATGTTTAGATGGATTTTAGGAACTTCCCCTCGATTCTATTGGCTCTAACGGTTAAAAAGAGGTGTCAATCATCAAAATCGACCGACGGGGGCCAGAGATATGGAAAATCGACCCAAATGACCCCAGAAGTGTATTTTTTTTCTAAACCTCTCTAAAAAGGTCACATTTCACTTGTTTTGCATCAATCTTGATACAGGGTACTTATTATAGTTTGGATTCCTAAAGCTTTTAGTCTACTATCCCATCATTCAAGGGTGTTTTTCACTATAAGTCATGTTTTTTTTAAATTTACTTTAAAATAAAAAAGATCTATATTGATTCTGACTCTTCTACATCCAACTCACAGGTGTATCATTGCTTTAAGAAAACATATTATTAATTTAACCCTTTTAGAAGGGAAGATATGGTCAATTGCTCTGGGAATGTCCTTTTCGAGTATGAGGCCTGAAAAACAGGCTTGGGGCTCAACTGGTTTTAACCAGAGCCTGTTTTTATATTTGGGTGTTTTGAAGAGGGGTTGTATGAGGTAAATGTCCATAGTCAATATATTACTTAATGCACTGGCACCAGACTCAGTTGACAAAAACAGTCATTTTACCTTTCAGAATTAGTGGCTTACAGCAGCCTCCTCCTGTAGATTAGTTTGTTTGTTAGTTTTTTGTGTGACTTTCATTAGTTCTGATTGAATAAATCCCTCAATAAGACCAAACAATTACCCAATCAAGGCAGTGGGAGGCGTGCAACTCCCTTATGTTTCACAGTTAAATTACTTTTTTGTCAATGGAGTCTGGTGGCTTTCAATAAATAACAGCAATACACTGAATGTGGTACCATGTCAGTCCAAACAGTCAGTAGCCTACTATCCTTCTAAAGTGCTCATGTTGTCTGTCTGTCTGTCTGTCTGTCTGTCTGTCTGTCTGTCTGTCTGTCTGTCTGTCTGTCTTCACACAGGTTAACTCATTGTAGCCTGAAAGGTGATGAGTTGGAGAGACTGCTCGAGATCCTACAGCGGGGTCCCCATCTGTCCAACCTGAAGTATGCTCCACTAACAGAACTCACACACAAACCCAGTGTTGCAGATACGTTAGTGAACAACCATAAACAGCACACACACCTGTAGCAGTACTTGATATTGGTATGGATGCTGAGATATTCTTTATTTTGCCTGCAGTTTATCAAGTAACCAACTGGGAGATGAAGGAGTGAAGCGCTTTCTGGATTCCCTACAAACGCTTAAAATCACCAGCTATGTGAAGTAAGATGTGCTTGTGAAATATTGATGTCTACCATTTTATATATTAATGTGTAACCAATACAAGAAAACAAAGCAATCTTGGTTTCAATAGAAAATATGGGAAATCATTTTATCCCTGTTACCAGTCAACTTTTTTAATCGTCTTTATTATACTTTGTAAGACATGCATCAAGGGCTGTAGCAAAGGATACTACGAAATAACATGATCATTATAATAATATGATAATTTTTTAGTAGTTTAGTATCCTTTTCCAAATGTTGAATCCAGTTTTTTCTCCCATTGTCTTATTTATATATTGTTCATTTGATTGTAAAGCTTATTGTTCAACTTAGATGTTCTGCTTTAGTATACATAAAAGTGTCAAAAAACTTAAAATAAAGGAAATACTTATTATTGCTTTTCTTTTACTCTTAATTATCAATATAGGAATAAACAACAAAGTCACTCTAGTAGACAATAGTTACATACATATGATGGTAATGTTTTTTTAATACAATATTTTCTGCTCTTTAATGTGTCTTCATCCACAGTTTGAGCGGCAATGGCCTGACTCAGCAGGGCGTGTTGGATGTGGTCAGCGCTCTGTGCAACTGTAACCACGTCAGCGGTGGGGAAGTCAGGTACGTCTCTGTATTGTAAAAATCTATTAATAAAGAGCAAACAAAATAAGAAATTGAAATAACAGCTGATAGCATTAACAACTGTAAAAATCGACAAAGTATTCATTACTGTCTCTGTCCATGTTAATGATAGTTTGGGAGCAGAGCAGAAGTGTCTCATCTGGTTCACACAATGTGAAGGCTCTGTGAAAATGCTGAGGTAGGCCAACACACAAACATTAAGAGTAAAGGTTTCTACTGTGTGACTATGCAGAGGCTTTTTTTTTTGTTCACAAATATAGGGATAGTTCAGATGTGTGACTTTAGAGTAAAATAACTGTTACATTTCTTTGTTGTCTTACATGGTGGTTCAAAGGTTTCATTTTGAATTGCATGCCTCAATTAGGCAGTGTATCATGTTGTCCTCGTGTTGACTTTCTTTGTTTGTTCTCTCCAATATTCTGCCTCTGTTCCAGCGTCAGAGAGAGCTGTTTGGAACATGACCATCTGATCAGATTAGCAGAGATCGTGTCTATCTGTTCCAGTCCGATCAAACTGGAGTAAGGACACCTCCATCGCCAGATACATTCATAATTTAGCTATTGTCATATAAAATGCTTCTCCAGAACTTTCACTTTGGAGGAAGAAAAAAACATGTATTTAAAAACAAAACTGTAGTTACCTTAAGGAAAATGCTTTGTGTTATGAAACATTCTTAAAACTACTCAATTAATTATTACATTACATTACATTGCATTTAGCTGACGCTTTTATCCAAAGCGAC